CCCCCCAGCCCTCCAGCCTCTCAAGGCACCCAGAGCCTCCCTGGAGCACCACGTGGGTCCCACCTGATGTAGGCTTCAGTGCTGCTGGTGCCGCCGATCTGGTTGTTGGTCAGGTAGGTGTTGTGGGAGGAGGAGATGAAATAGTGGCACAGGGGCTGGTTCATGTCCTGGTGCACCTTGGTGTGCTCCTGGTTGAGGATGTCCCCATCGGCGGATAGCAGATACATCATGAAGCCATCAAGCATCATGAAATCCTGCTGCTTGGCTGGGGGACATGGCGGGCCGTTGGTGACAGCTGACACGTGCCCGTACCACCGCACATCCAGCATCACAGCACACGAGAAACCATCCCCACCCTGAGCTCACACTCGTCCCAGGCCTGGTACTGTGGCATCCAGGGGACACAGAGGTCCCCTTGGTGCCTCCTCCCACTCTGATGTCTTCATAATGTCATCCTCACCCTGATCCTGGCACTTGCAGGTCCCCTTGGTGTCCATCCCCACCCTGGTGTTCCCTGTCTCCGTAGTGTCACCCTCACCCCAGCCCTGGCATTGTGGCAGCCAGGGAACACGGTGGTCCCCTTGGTGTCCTTCCGTATCCCGACACCCCCTTTCTCCACAGTGCCATGTTCATCCTGGGCAGACAGGCCAGGGACCAGCAAGGACATAGGTTACCAGGGAAGGGACAGGGGACACCAGCTGTGGCTTCGATGCCATGACGCGGGCCACACACCAGCACCCTGCAGGGCTCTGCACCAGCAAGCCGGGGACACCCTGCCGAGCAGGCAAGGCCACGTCCCTGTCCCCAGAGCAGCTCTGGATTGATCCCTTAACCCATCACTCCACACTGCCCATGGCAGAGGAACCACCTCTGAGCTGAGCTGGCCCATTCTCAGCCTGCCCTGCTGGGATCAGGAATCCCAGCAGCACCACCAGTACCAGCACCAGCACCATCACCAGCAGAACCGTCACCAGCACCATCAGCACCCGCATCACCACCAGCACCAGCACAACCAGCACCATCACCAGCAGAACTGTCACCAGCACCACCAGCACCAGAATCACCAGTGCCACCAGCACCGCTAGAACCAGCACCAACATCCCCAGCAGCATCACCAGCATCTCCACCAGCACCAGCGCCACAAGCACCAGCAGCGCCAGCGCCCCCGGCAGCAGCAGCCCCCGGCACCTTTCTCGCTGAGCTCGTAGGTGTGGATGACGGCGCGCGCCCGCCGCCGGGTGGCCTCCTCGCCCTGGTCGCGCAGGAAGTCGCGCAGCTCCTCGGCTGACAGCACGCAGTCCTCGCCCGAGTAGCGCCGGAAAAGCTCCTCGAGCTCCGGGCGCCGCAGCAGGCGCCGGCAGAACTCCTCCAGCTCGCGCTCCTCCAGGCGCCCGTCGCCCGACCTGTCGCACTCCTGGGGGGACAGTGGGAGCCTTGGGGACACCCCTCTCCTTGGCCCTCTAGCCCTCCCCACGTGTGATGAGCCTCAGGGGGTCTCAGCTGCCTGCCCTGACACAGCCAAGCACATGACGGGGCCCTGATGTCGATGGTGGGGAAGTGCCTTGGATGCACTGAGTTTGACGGTCCTCTGCCACGTTCGGAGAGGGGGGTGATGGCGGGCAGGATGCGGCGGGGGGCTGGCGGTACCTTGAAGAGCTTGTAGGCGTAGACATCGTTCATGTCGATGTTGATCATTCGCAGCATGTCCTTGACCTCGCCGAAGCACATCTTGTTGTCCCGGTTCTTGTCCGCGCGCCGCAGGATATCGTGGATCCAGCTGCACCCGGCTAAGGAAAGCGCCCGGGGGCTTGCCCCGACCCGGCACAGCCAGGTCGAGGTTTTTCCGCTTGCCCTTGAAGACGATGGTGAAGCAGTGCCCCTCGGGGAAGGAGCCGCCGAACTTGCGCAGCCCCTCGGACTGGCGCCCCGGGCGCACGCCCTCGATGTGCATCACGGAGACTGCGGGGACAGCGGGCACTGACGGCCACCAGCCCCAAGCCTGTCCCCAGGGTGTCCCCTTGCAGCCGGGGCAGGGAGCAGGGCACCCGCTTAAGCTGCCTTTTCAGCTGCTCTAATCCCCGGCGAGACAGAGCCCCGCGGGGATGGGGACATTGGCTGCGGTGGCGGGGGGGGGGGCCTCTCCCCGAGCGCCGGCTATCCCAGTGTGGGGGTTGGGAAGGGCAGGATGGTGATGGGGCTGGCAGGGAGAGAAAGGGACCCTCCAGAAGCTTGGCTTTGGCTGCACCAGGAGGCACTGGGAATCACTGGGAGGCACTGGGAGGCACTGGGAGGCACTGGGATGCACTGAGAGTCACTGGGTTGGGGCTGGGGGGCAGAGCAAGGAGTGCTGCAAGGCCTCAGTGGGGTCGGGGCTCCCCAGGGTGCTGTGGCCATGGGTTAGGTCCAAGTTGGGGGCTGGAGGCCACGTCCCAAGTGGTGCCCAGTGTCATATCCAGTGTCCCAGGTCATGCCCAGGCTCCCAAGTTTGTGCCCAAAGTCCCAGCTTATGCTCAGGGTCCCTGTTCATACCCTGGATCAGGAGCCAGGATTTTGGATTGTCCCTTGGGTGCTGGGTGGCACCCGGGGTCCCCGGTCATGCTGCATCCCAGGCCATGCCCTGGGTCCCACCGGAGAGTTTGGGCTCACTGGGGCAGTGTGGGGACAGGTCCCGGAGCCCTGAGCATCCAGGGGATGCCCCCAGGCTCCAGCACTTACAGATGTGCTTGGAGCGAGCGTGCCGGAAGCGCCGCTCGAACCAGATGGTCATGCCGTCCTCCTGCAAGCGGTACAGGCGCTCCTTGGCCTGCGGCGCCTTGATCTTCCAGAGCAGAGAGCCCTTCAGCATGAGCTTGATGTCCTCGTCATCCGTCAGGCCTGCGAGGGGACGACCCCATCAGCTCCCGGCACCCAGGGCCCGGGATGCCCCCTCCAGGAAGGAGAAGATGGGACAGGACAGAGATGATGGGATGGGGCGAGGTGGGATGGGGCAGACAGGTGAAATAGGATGGATGAGACAAGAAGGGACAGATGGGCGAGGACAGACATGATGGGATGGGATGGGATGAGGGAACAGGATGGAACAAGATGGGTTGGGATGGGATGGGGGAACAGGATGCAACAGGATGGGACAGGACAGATATGACAGGATGGAGGAACAGGATAGGATGTGATAGGGCAAGACAGGACAGGGTAGAAATGGGATGGGCCAGACCAGACAGGGCAGGACAAGACAGGACAGGACAGGACAAGACAGGATGGGACAGACAGGACAAGCCATCACTGTGCAGCCCCTGTCGCCCCTCTGCAGGAACAACTCTGGGCAACAGCTCCGGTGCCCTGCTCAGTGCACAGAACAGAGGCTGTCAGATCCCGATGGAGCCGCCCAAATCCTGCCTCCCTGCCCTGTGCCCCACTGCCAGCGACGGGCCCAGGAGCCACGTGGGAATAGCCCGGGAGTGGGAGCGGAGGTGAGTCACCGACCCGCTCGCTGGGACCGGGCGGCCGGGCTTGCACCCGGCCTCGCTGTGGGCCGGGACTTTTCCGTCTGTTATTCAAGAAACTGCTCTGTTATTTCCTCCTCTCCTTTTTATTTTCTTTGCAGTCTGTAAAAATAGCCCCAGCACTCCGGCCTCTCCCGCTCCACTCATAATGCTCCCCTGGGGTGGAAAATGGGAGTTTGGGGATGGAGCAGCTTTGGGGACGTTGCTGGTGTCATGTGCGTCACGGAGCCGGCAGCCTCGGGTGTCCTCAATGGGGCTCTTGTGCTTTCCGAGTGCCGGCAGCCCCCACACGTGCCAGTCCTGGGGCTGGGCGGCTGTGGCACCCCGAGGACTTTGGACCACCGCACCCGGCCCGCGCGTCCCAGCACCGTGGGTGGCAGCCTGCCCGGAGCTGCTGTCCCGTGTCGTGTGTGCGGCCGTACGGATGCACAGAACCACAGGTGCACAAATGCACAGATCTATAGACACACAGGTGCATGGACACAGGGATGTACGGATCCACAGGTGCATGGACACACGGGTGCATGGATGCACAGGTACACAGACTCATGGACACACAGGGATTCATGGATACACAGATTCTTGGACACAAGGATTCAGGGTGCACAGACACATGGGTGCAGGGATACATGATGCACACACAGGGATGCACGGACACACAGGCACATGGACACCAGGATTCACGGACACTTGGATGCACAGACACATGGACACAAGGATGCATGGGCAGGTGAGCACAGGGGTGCAGAGACACGGGGACACCCAGGCTCACACCCATGCAGTCACTGCTGGGGACAGTCACACACTGGTGCCGACATGTGCAGCTCTGGGCACACAGCCTGCACCCAAGCGCAGGCACGGGCAGGGCCTGCCCCCATGGGGACCCTCCCTGCCATGGGGACCTGTCCCTGCCATGGTGACACCTGCCCATGGTGAGGACCTCGCCCAGACATCAAGTCCCTGGTCACTCTGGGGACCCGTCCCTGCCATGGGGACACCTGCCAACAGTGAGGAGGGCCCCCAGCTGAGGGACCCTTCCTTGCTATGGACCCTCCCTTAGGGACCCTCCTTGCCATGGGGACCTGTCCTGGCCATGGGGACCTCTGCCACCTGTGGGGACACCTCGCCACCATGGGGACACCGGCCCATGGAGAGGGCCTCACGCAACCATGGAACCCTCCCTGCCATGGGGTCCCCTGTCACCCCGGGGCCCTTCCCTGCCATGGGGACCTGTCCCTGCCAGGAGGGTCCCCTGTCACCTCTAACCTTCCTCCCTTCCTCCCAGCCTCAGCTCCCCCCCACCTGGCAGACCCTGCATGTCCCAGAGCCCCCCCGCGTGTGGAGCGGGACGGCGTGGGTGGCGGTTCCCGGTCCCGTCCCGTTCTCACCCATTTTCTTGAAGGCTGTCCCGGGCCGTCGGGGGCCGCC